TCGGCAATTCGATACATTGTTGACTCGCTTACATTAACAATCGATGCTAATTTTCACAACAATTGCCCTGGGTCATCCGAAATCAGCGCTTGAGCTCTTTCAATGACTGCGTCCTCGCGGTGCGTTCTTTCGAATGACTCTTCTTCGCTGGTATATTGGAACCTTCGTTGGACTGTTCTAAAGCCGTATATTTTGTCACAACATCATAAATGTTTGATCTCAGGTATCCAAAGAACGGAATTATTTCCATTGCTGAGCGCCCAACGCGAAGGTCTTCGATGATCGCGGTTTTTCGATTATACTTCGCACTTGGTTTCAACATCGCGGTCGTTTAAAAAATATGACTGTTTACTAGAAGCATCAGGCTTTCTCGGACGCCAACAACCTTTAGCGGAGGCACAATATAGAAGAAAATTTAAATTAAAATTTGTCCGGATTTTGATGACGCATCCTGTATATGTATTATTTCAGTATCAAAACTGATTATATTGTACCATTGTACAATTTAAATGCTTTACATAAAGCAGGTTTTAATGTGCACTAATCCAGTGTAATATCTGACCTAACTTCGACCAGTGGATGCTGAAACTGTTTTCTTTCGAGGACAGAGTCTGCATTGGTAGACATCCTTGATCAAGTTTCGACCAGTGAGTGCTGGCAGTTTTCTATTAAGAACAGAGTCCGCATTCGACGTTCTTTATTTATAACTTTTTGACCAATGGATGCTGGGACTATTTTATTTCAAAAACAGAGTCCACATTGGTCAATATCCTCAATCTAGCTTACTATTACTTATGACTAATTTACTATTTTATTCTATAGTATGTAATGTATATAAAATTTTTTGTAAATAATTAGGTTCATAATTCTTAATATGATGTAATTTATTTACTGTTACGTTGTATTATGTTTTCATTATGTTGCGTAGTAAAAGAAACTAAATGTATATATTGCGTGTACTCTAATATTGTATACAAAATACACTCCTGGAGAGAGACAAAGAGAGAGAGAGAGAGAGAGAGAGAGAGAGAGACGCGTAAATATACATATGTAATAAATATAATAAATGATGTAATAAATGTAATATGTACATAATATATATAATTGTATGTAATAATTGTATGTATTATAATATAATATGTATAATATAATATATTTACAATAAGATTGGAAACAAAACTGTTTATGTTAAATACATTACTTTAAATACGAAGCGCCATTGCGGTCTGAATGTTAAGATGTTGAACTATTATATATATTCATATAAATGAATTTCAGAAATGATAATTGCGTGCCGATATGATTATCGGACTTTCAACGCAATCAATCTGAAATATTAATAATCCCCCCAAATTTAATCTTAAAAATCTGTAATAAACTTATTGCGAAAAATATTCTCTCGGCCGGGAGCTCACCCGGATATCTTGCATTCCGTACGAGTGTCCTAAGCCTTTAGACTATGAAGACTTCAGATTGATTGCGTTGAAAGTTCGACAACCATATCGGCATGCAATTATCATTTCTGAAATTAATTAATTTATATGAATACATAATATAATAGTTCAACATTTTAATATTCAGACCATAATGATACTTCGTATTTAAATAATATATATATTTATAATATATTTGTGATATATAATTTATTATATTTTCCAAATGAAAAGTGTCTATTTCTTATTATATATATAAAAAAACAGCATGATAATATTAAATTTATTAATTAAAAATTGTTATTCAAAGCATTGAAAGCAGCAATTTTTAATTAATAAATTTTAACATTGTTATGCTACATTATTATTTATTTCCTAATACGCGTATTAGAAAATGAATAATAATGTAACATGGCAATGTTAAAGTTTATTAATTAAAAGTTGCTGTTTTCAGCGCTATAAGCAGCAATTTTTAATTAATAAATTTAACATTGTCATGCTATGTACCTTTAAAGATCTTCAAGATATCTAACATTTTCGTGACATCTAAAAGATATCTATTAGATATCTTTAAAGCATTTCAAACATCTTCGCCGGATAAGATATCTTTCAGATATCTTCAAATTCAATATAAGCTGTCTTAAAAATATCTTTAAGATATCTCCAGATCTATAAAAGACATCTATAAATGTTGCATAAGACATTTTTTAGAGCCCTCTTTTCGTAAAAAATGGAAGACATCTGAAGATATGGCAAGAAATCTTTTAGAAATATAAAAGATATCTTTTTGTCTATGTGGGATGCTAAATGATATCAATTTGTTCTCTCATGGAAGAAAAGATCATGTATTGTATAGTATTTGAGCTATGCAAATGCGCATTCGCCGCTATATTTGATTCAGAAACTAAACGTAATTATGATATCTTTTATGAGAAATTTATTTGTGTTGTCATTTTTAAAGATATCATAAAAATAATATTTTCAAGAAACAGATTCATAATTTGACCTATAAAGTTTAACACAGCATAAAATACTAAAGAATAATGAAAAGATGTCTAAATGAATATGATCGTTTTGTCTCTTCAGCAAGATGAAAGATGACTATAAGACATCTTCTAGTTTTATTGAAAAGACAACTTAAAAAAGATATTTTTTCGTCATCTTCCTCTGATTGTCTTTTCGGTAAAGCGAAAAGTCGACTAAAAAACATCTTTTAGTATTACCGAAAAAACAATGTGGAAAAAATATCTTTCCGTTATTTTACTTGTCATCATTCATCCGCGAGCAGTACGCAGAATTGCCACAGACATGATGGAGTTCGGGTTCGTGTGTTTGAAAACCATATGGGATAAAAGGTGCGGTATTATGAGAAATATAGCTAAAATATAACTTGTGTTCTGACGAACACTCATAAAATATTTTTTGTAAGCAAGTCCTCAAATGGGACTATGATAAAAAATAATGCTCTTGAACACATCACATGGCAAGCATTGCAGGCATAATGGAATATATACTGACAGCAATACACATAAATGGAATGTATATTGATAGTCATACAATTTAGTAAAAAAATTAATTCAGATATTTAATGTTATTAAACATTACATGTGCTAAAATATCAAAAAGAAGTCTTAAAAACAACTAAAAAATTTACTGAAGTCATCTTTTAATAACCTTTCAGACTTTGGATATATAACAGATTTCTTTTAGACATCATAAATACGAACTCTATATGTTAATATACTTTGGATATTATAAAGACATGTAATTTGAGAAATCTTATAGGAATCATTTTTGTGATATCTTTCTATTTTCAAAAAATGGTGCATAAGATAACATTCAGATATTATTCTTAAGGATTCCACGGTTACTTTTTATATGAAAATTATGCATATCGCAGGTTTCCTCCGTGTCTAGATCCATTCTTGGAATGCCAACATTTCGTGAACCTTGCAGTCCACTTTATCAGGGCGAATAGTCAACTTACGAATAAAAGAATACCAATGTGATATCAGGCTAAAACACATCACGCAATCAGCATTATTAGAACACAACATCGAAACAGGACATCAAATACTGTTTGACAAAACGATCACAATAGCCAAATTTACATTATTACATCATACTTTTCAAGAAAGTATAGAGAAGCCATAGAGTAAAAAAACACCCTAACAATCTAAATAAAGATAATGGCTACAACATAAATAAAATATAGAAAATCATTCTTCCGGTTATTGAAGACTGACCAATTTCCCCCACCACTCCAACAAGTAGCGTAATATAAAAAAGAACGGCCCGGAGGAACAGCTCAGTATCAAGCTGCTCCTCGCCCTGATAAAATGGATTGCAAGGTTCACGAAACGTTGGCATTCCAAGAATGGATCTGGACACGGAGGAAATCCGCGAAACGCAACATTCAGATATCTTTATGACTTTTTAGAAATTTCTCTAAGTCATCAGATTCAGAAATGAGATATCTTTCAGAAACTTTTTTGATAACATATTGTTATGTGAGAATAATGTAGTATTATTCTTTTTACAAAAATAAAATCACGATTAGACACAACATTCTGCAATTATTTCTTATTTTTTCAAACTAATTAATCATACACATTTATTAAAATAAATAATTAATTACTAGCCACTTTAACTTTGCCAGTAGTTTCTCAAAAATATAAATTCTTATATGTTTTTTCTCTCATAATCCCATAATTAATGGGATAATAACTATGTTATTTAAAAATTTTTTAATTATTAAGTTTTATTTATAAATTATACGTTTAGTTTAAAAGTTCAATTTTGAATTATCGTTTTTCAAATTACCATTACAATACAAAAATATTTAGGAAGGAATACGCGTCTTGAGCATGCTTCGATACTCTAGTAAATTCAGATGGCTAGGCATTTATGCCGTATGTACGATTGTATTATAGAATCAGAATGGTTTTGGTAAGTATTGCCATTTTCATGTTGAGGCTCAAAACTTTTCAGGCGACCTACGTAAATCAGGTGTTTAATTTAGAATATTTCATATAAAAAACGTTTAATATGTTTTTGAAATACATTTCTTTCATTTTATATAATTTACTTTTTAACACATTGAGTGTTGGTCAATTTTTATAAGTGTACCGCAGGAGTCAAAGTTTAAATCTATCCAATGTTTGAAAATTATTTTTTATGTAATTGAGAATTTTGATTAATTATTTTAATATATTATTAAAATCTTTGGTGCTGACACACCGTGACACACCGTGTGTTTACCGGCTATCGAGTAGTCGATGTCACGGTGTGCGTCGCCGACGCTCAATGTGTTAATAAGTACAATATTTCACACATATAGTTATTATTATTAGATTTAGTATTGAATTACGTTACACTATTTACTATTACTAAAAATGTTAAAAACACATCTGCTAGCAATGAGATAGACGTACTACGATGGACGTTGAAGTCTGTAACAAATATTGATCATAATGTTGATAATAGGATTAGAAAATGATAATATTACTTAATTTATTGTTTTAATTACAATACTATTTATTTACTATTTGAATTGATTATAATTACTTTCATCATCTGAATCGCGTACGCCACATTGTCGATGTCCTAATGTAGTTTTTCTTTTTATTGGTGTGTATCCGGGAATATATAAACTGGGAGCTTCGAGTTTACCAAGGGATAAAAGTTTACTGAAATCTTGCTCTAATTTATTAGCAATTGGACCTGAAAATACAATTAAAATAGAGATATAATTAATTAAATTTGATAATATGTTTAAATTATAATTTTTCAATAAAAATACTATTTAAATATCCAATGTCATTTTTATCGATTTGAAACATACATATATTTATTAGGGAGGGATAAATTTGTCTATAAAAATAATAGCTTATAGCTTCGTTTACACACAACCTTACACACACAGCGCATTACACACATGATCGATGCACATACGATCTTATTGCGCACATTGCATTGCACATTGTACTATATGCTATATATACAACACAGTGAATTGCACATATGATCGTGTTGTACATATGATTGTATTATACACAACATATTGCGTACACAATAACATATTGTACACAGCGGATTGTACATATTGTATTATACACACATTCCATTTAAAAGTATTCTGTAATACGTTGCTAATTCACCATCGCCAGTCGCAATCCTTCGCGGCAATTAAAAGCGTTAATAATTCTAATGATGGAGTATTTAATTGTGAATGAATGCCTTAGGTGATACGTGTGTAATACGATTATGTGTCCAATGCGCTGTATGCACAGTTATATTTGCGATGCGCTATGTATAATACAGCAGTATGAAAAATGCACTATGTTCAATATGATTGTGTATACATTGTGCTGTGTGCAATATTGTCGTGTATGCAACGCGCTGTGTGCAATATAATCGCGTCATATCATCTATTCATATTGGACTAGTGGGATATAATTTGTAAGAATGCAATAAGAAGAAATATAGAAGAATAGAAGATGTTTAATTATTGGTTGCTGGAAGAGATGTTCAATGCGTACACTGAAAAACTCATTTCAAGATTCAACAATTTAAAAGGATGCTGAAGCCACCAATATTACCGATATCATTTTTAATGTTTTTATTCGTGTTTGATTTCTTCGTAATAATTTTACAAAATAAAAATTCCTTTTTCATGATTAAATATACATGCTAATGTACCTGGCGTTAGTATATTTCGTGTCCAAAGCTGGAAAAAAGAAAAAAATTACAGATTTCTTTAGGCCTAGTCTACAATCAGTCGGGAAACCTTATCATGTGTATGTGCATAAGTTCTACAATCAGTCGTATGTCGATGTCTGCTGTCGCTAGTCGTTTGTCGTATGTTGTATGTCGCACATAAATACGACTTGCTATTCTACAATTGAGTCGTTGATCGAAGTCGGAAGATCGGAACAAATGTAAAGAATAGATATTAATTGCTGACATTTTAATGACATCGAAGCAATATGTCAATATTAAACGCAGCGTTACAAATGCTTATCGTTTAATCTGGAAATTAAATGTATACTGGTACTCGGACTTATAACAAATTTTGCACAACCACATATGGACAACACATGTAATTGTATTATAGAATAATGATTCCACTTACTTGACGACTACTATGTATTGATTTAATTAGTTTTATAATATTGAAAAGGATCAAAACGATGATCGAAACGTATATTATTTAAGTTATTAAACTTGAATAAATTTTTATACACGAATTCACCCAGTATCAGCTCTTATAGGCATTTCTTAAATTTTATACAAAAGAATTAAATTACAAAATATTTTTATATTAAATAATAATAATTTAACAAACAAAAATTACTTGACATATTTATATCATAAAAGTTTCTCAAATTTGTGGATATTTTTTGCTATAGATCTCTTTTTTTGCTAACATTTTTAAAATCCGCGTAACATTTTTAATATCGCGTTTATCGTACAAGCAATGATTTTTGCGAACAAAATCAATAATTATTTCATCTACATTCAGTAATTCCATAATATAATATAAATATATCCATATATCCGTATAAAAATATCTGTTTATTCATACACAAATGTGTCCGAAGGTTATATTTCATCTGATCATCTTGCGTTATGACAGAAACAACATTCGATTACGACTACTTTCGACAAATAACAATCCAAGACGCATGCGCCAGACGTCCAGTAGCGACATACGACTTATTTTAGAACAGGCTTTAGGCCTGTTCTACAATCAGTTATATGTCGGAATCGAGCGTCGTACGCATGCGCACTGAATTGTCGGCTGTTGTCGGAATAGAAAATGATCAATTTCAATTCTTTCCCGATCGTAACAATCGACAGTGCAATTTAATCTAGTAAACGAAATGGGAACAACAACTGTAGATGAAGTTATTATTAATTTCGTAGATAATACATTTCGAGATAATACATGTTTCTATGACAAAAAAAACGTTAATTTTAAAAATATTAATAAAAAAAAAAGATTTGTAATATCAGAACAATTAAGAAATTTATATAACATAGATATGACAGGTAAAAACTTGAAAAAAGTTATTATAAATATTATATTATATTACAAATATATGACAAATTAATTTTTTATAGCTGATGCGATGGAAAAATGTTGGTTGTCATTAAGAAATATGTTTACTAAAAAAGCTAGAAAATTTGGAAAAGGTTATTGCCATTGGGATTAGGTTCAATCTAAAAAAAAAAGGGAATTATATAAAATGATGCCTTTTTTATTTCCTCATATAACACATAAACAATTGCTTTTATATTTTTGTGATATTATTACATTTTACTTATTATTTTTTATTTTAAAATTATTTTAAAAATAATAATATCACTATCATGTCGATTGAGCTGTTCAGTATCATTACTGATTGACATACATTGTTACAAATGTTCTTAAATTTCATTAAATTTTAAGTTACACAATTTGAATTTAATTTCATAATAACATAAATTTAATTTCATTACATAAAATTTAATGTAATCTATAACTTAAAAGTACAATATATTTGTGTACATATACATAAAATTTAATATATTTTTCATGAAAATTTATGAAATTTAATTTTAACTTTTCATAAAATTTTATTAAAAGTTCATTAAATTTCATAAATTTAATGTACACGTTCATTACATTTAAGTAACTTACTTAATTATTGTAACTTAATTTTCAGTTAAATCATTCATTACTTTTAATTTCGTTCATAACCATTTAAAGGAAGCTCTTACATTTCTAACAGTGTAGATAATTCTTCAAGTTTTAATATATCTGTTCCTTCTCTAACAGCAGACCATAGCATTAAAAATGAGAAAGGTATGGCAAGTATGTGTGTATTAATCTTTTAAATAAAAGATTAAGTAAATTTATTTTACAGTTATTAATATAAAAATGAATCTTGTAAAAATTTCCAGAAAATAACATACTAAATGAAAATGAAATAATTATAACAGTTGATTATCAATCTGAGTCGTCCTCCTAGTGCATTATTTAGCTTTTTCTGCAGCAGTAATTGAGCTAACATATCTAACAATAAGATTCACTTTCCGAGAACAAATTTTAGTGCACAAAATGCAATAAGTTCTCCATTTAAGACTATGAAAAGTACTTCACCTGAATTGAATACTTTTGCAAAACGTGGGATCAATTAATTGACCAACAATTATCCGAGCGTTTTCTGTAATATCTGCTGCTGTACAATCAATTTCATCACAAAAGTCTAACGAAAATAAAAATGGTAATTATATGTTTAGAAGAAGGTTTAAAATAAAGGTTCCTGATAAACATAAAACTCAATGTCTCATAGAAGTACTACAAATAATACAAAAATATGAGGAGAGATAATTATTTTTGTTTGAAAATTTTATTATTAAAACTTTTATTAATATTATTTTATTTTCAATATATGTATTATGCTTTTATTTCGACGTGTTTTAAGAAAGTATTGTTTTATTTTTAACATATATTGTAGATAGTTCTCACACTCTAGTTTATAACTTTGTAACTACTTTATTAATCATCTATGTTTTAAATAGTTTAAAAACAACTGTGAGCTTGTATTCCGATTCTCTTTTATGTATTCGAGCATCATCTCGTTTATTCCAACTTTTTATATATTCTCCGTTCTCTGTATTCAGCTTAATATTATGATTTGTATTTCGCCTCTGTTCCTTTAATAAACTGTGTGTTACAAGACCCAATAACATATATTTTTTTTTACTTCAACATATCATAAGAGGGTAGTTGTGGACCTTATATGTATATGTTTAACATATTGTAAATATTAAAATACTAGGTTAATTAATAAGTCCCTAGAATGACACATTAGATGTTACTACGTCCAATGTGCCGTGAATTTCTAGTAGTTTCAAACCTTTCACTATACATGACAATCAATATATTTGTGACAGCCACCGAAAGCACATAACCTTTGATATTTTGTAAAAATAGAAAAAACTGAAATTCATGCATTTCTATTTAAAAAGCTTCCAACCGCAAGAAATGATTAAGGACTTCCAAAAAACTTTGGGGGAGTTTTCATATTTCACGCTGTTTTATAACAGCAGATGCACTTACGTTTGTTCCAACTCGTCCCAAAGAAGCAACGAAACCATCTTCTCTTACTAAATTTCTCCAGTTTTCTGCTATTACTTCACCATTAGGATCTTTCTGATCCACAATATCTCTATGTAAATATTGATTATTGTTTAATCCAATAATTATAATATAATGTAAATAAGCTGTTACAGCTTGTACTATAGCTTCTGTAGTTTCCAATTTTAAATTCAAAGCCTTCTGTAAAATTCTCTACCCTTCAACGAGAATGTCGAATGCATTTTCGATTACTCGTCGTGCTCTTGATGATCAATAATTAAACATTTGCTGCTCATTACTCAGCAAATTTTTTTTAACAAATGATCACATTAAGTAACTTTTAAGTGGAAAACCTTTATCGCCAATAAGAGAAAATGGTACTGTAGTATTAGTATTATCTATACAATGAGCTTGTGGAATAAATTATGTATACGTATTATTCTCCAGAGCTTGATACATAGTGGTATGGGACTAAATTCCTGCATCATTGAGAGAACCTAATTAGAATATATTTTATAACTTTATTAATCAAGGGATACAAATCAAGGGATAGATGTTTATTATTAATTTTAAACAAAATACAGTTTAAACAATAGAATGATAAACCGGGTGTAAGGTCAAAACATCTGTTGTTTAAGCTGTATTTTGTGTAGCAATAAACATTTAGCTGAGTTCATATCGATTTATTAATTTGCTCTATAATATATTGCTAATCTTAAAAAATTTATAAAATGCTTGGTTATATATATGTACATACATATACATATAGTAATGCGAGTGAATTTTTTTTATTCACATCTTATTACACTAATTTTTCGTATGTATTAAAAAACTAAAGTTAATAGTTCGCAACTGATGTCCTTTGAAGATGTCGCTATCGCATATAGCGTTCTTGGACACGATATTGGAGATTCGCATATACTTGACATCGACCGCATCAACGAGTAATCGTTTGAATGTTACATCAATCTTAAACACCTAAATTTAAACATACGACGTAGCGCCGTTTCGGTCATCATCATGCGTACGGACGAAGAATCGAGACGTACGAGCGTAATATCGTTCAGCATGCAAACTCTAGCCGTTAGAGGTCCAACGCTTATGAAATTGTCTTTGTATTTGTTTCGAAGCATATTGTAAATATTTCATCGCAGCTCGTAGAGGCCCTTCCACGTTTCGAGAGACAACGACAGTTCATGTCCGCGATGATCTCCCAGAGTTATCTTCACATAACTCGGCGACCAACGTTGATTCCAATTACCAAAAATTTGTAGCCCATATTTATCAAGTCGTAACATCTGCTCAGTAAGCAGCGCGACGTTCTATGCTGTGTATGTACATAATGTTGAAAAAAAAACGTTATTTATTATATATTAGGTGTATGACTTTGCTCATTCGGTTTTCGTATAGATGGTTTTAGCGGTAAGTAGTGATCGAAATAAATAGACCATAGACGTCACACGATAAACTTGGGCATCTGTCAACATAATCCCATTAGAAACATTAGTCGATTTGTGTCTGCATCATAAAGTTATTCTCGATTGAAAATGTCAGTTTACGAGCCAAATTCTTGTCATTTGCGGGAGGTTTTAATTTTCTGCTTCAATATGAAGAAATCTGCGGCTGAGGCTCATCGAATGCTTTCAAATATTTATGGTGAAGCCGCTATTAG